TTGCCCTCCTTGCCCTCCTTGCCCTCCTTGCCCTCCTTGCCCTCCTTGCCCTTCGCAATTTGCGCGTTCCCTTGTATTGCTCCTTAAGGCGAGGGCGACGGGGGGAGCCAAGGCAAGGCGACGCATTGCTTTTTCTTTTTCTTTTCTTTTTCCCTGATCTTCTGCCTTCTTCTTGTTCCTTCGGGACACGCGAGCGCACAGCAAGCCGAGCGATCGGGGAGGAGGGGGGGAGATTTTATTTGCCTTTTTTTCGCACTTGCTTGCTGCGCTGAAACAGAGAGAAGGACGCAAGCGCAGGCACGGGGGGAAGGGGAAGCGCACAGGACAACCCGACCAGTCGATCGATTCGCCATTCGACATTCTGCATTGGCGTCTCTTTGGCCGCTTTAGCTCGGGAAGACTATCTGAAGGGGAAGAGAGAAAAGAGTACACGAAAGTTACACATGTGGAAAATTGAGATGGATCGGCTTGGAGAGATGTATGGCATGCTTGGACAGGTGGGATGGATGGAACAGATGGAAAAGGTTGGCAAGACATGGAACGGCTCGAGGCTCAACAGGTGGAATTTGCTTGGTGGATACGGGGGCATGGCGACTGGAAGCAGGATAGCAGGAGCGAAGCGCAGCTGAATGCGAGCCGTGCCGAATCGTGTGCAGAGTGTCGAGAGTGTATCAGCGATAGCTCCGGATCGAGTCGAATGACGAGCTTTTTTTGGGAGATGCTGCTTGTGCTTGCTGCTTGCTGCTTGCTGGCAGCTCCTCCCGCTTGACGCGAGCGGGCAGGGGCTGCACTGCCTTTTGCCCCCTGCGCCTTTTCCTCCGGACGTCGCGCCTCGCGTAAAAAGGGAGGAAATCTGCTCTCCATTCCTCTGTCAGGTCTGACTGATCTGATGAAGAGGCAAGGGCGTAGTCGATGTGTAGCCGGCTGCATCGCATACGTGTCGGGTCAGACTGTCATCTCCCTTGCGCGCACTTCGCCGGTTTTCGCGACACGTATCTACCCTCAGCTCAGGAGTCGAGCAGGCAGTTGACGATGCGCTGACAGGTCCACAGGCCCGACTCAGAAGATCCTCCTCACCAGGAGCCCGGCTAGCAAAAGGCAGACGAAACCGATGGCCCTGTCGAGCTGAGCCACTCTAGCTTCTGAAGGAGATGGTGTTCGCGGTGCTGGTACGGGCTCGCGATCTGCCGCATCTACCGCTGCTGTTCCAGCATCCACCACCGTCGCTTCTCCTGATGCTCCTAAAACCAACGTTGCTTCTCCGACGTTGCGCTGCGCAGCATCCGTGGCGTGCGATGCGGCAGTCGTATCGACGCGCGCTTCTCGACGACGAGTGAGCGTCGATGAGTCAGAGGCGGAGGAGCTGGCTGCTCTGTTTGCTACAGCACGGTCCATCTCCGTGCGACTGAGACGAAGTTGGTCTTGGACGACGGCAGATGATATCATCGTGGGTGATTCTTGATTTGGCAGAGCGTACATGGGAGGTGAGTTGGTCTGCTGGTCTGCAGCTGCGGCTGTACCTGCCTCTGTCGGCTCAGCTACGACTTGCGACTGCTTGTTCACTTGCAGCGTAGAAGCATTCGCGCTACGCTTCTCCTCCTCCTCGCCCTCCTCTTGCTGTTGGTTTGGCGGGGGCGGCGCTTCCTCTCGAAGGTGCAAACCTTCTGGCAGACATTCCACCTTTCTATCCTCCTCTCTCGTCTCTGGCAGCAGCTCCGCATTCTTCTTTGCGCAGACGTGACAAGTCCAATCCCTCGAAGCCTTTGCCAGTCTCTCCCTCTCTTGACCATCCACATCCAACGCGCCCACACCCACCGCCGCCTCCTTCTTTGCATTCATGAATGCTTGCACGCCCAACAAGGCAGTTCTGATACCCCAAGCAGGCGCCCAACACTCTTCGTGGAACCCTGTAAATGTCAAGCAGATCTTTTTGCCCGTCTCCCATCGACCATTGGGAGTGAGTAGAATGACGCTTGGAGGTCTGAATGGATACTCTACCGGAAGAATGATTCGTCCGTGATAGATGCCCTGCTCGAACTCTGTGCCATGCGCTCCCCTCAGCGTAAAGTGCCACTCGAACAGATTGTCCTCCAATGGCGCCGCAGTGTACTCGGTCGACGCATCGCTGCACATTTCTCGCGCTTCGGATAGGATGCGCTTGATGGACGATGATTTCTTGTTGACCGAGGAGGCCGAGGAGGAGGAGGATGACATGTTGGGCTGCCTTGGGAGCGTAATCGAAGGCTGGGCGGGCAGGGCTGTGCGGCTGGCTGGCTGGCTGGCTGGTTGACTGGCTGACTGGCTGGCACCTAGGCAATCGTGGATGCCAATCGATCGCCTTTGCCGCAAGCTGCCCACTCGAGAGACAAGTCGCAGCTGCTGGTGCGCTTTGTGCAAATGTGTATGTTGAATGAAGAGTGAATCAAGAATGTACGCAAGTCAGCTTTGGCGCTTTGTGATTCACGATTGGATGCGATGATGGTGGTGGTGGATGTGTGCAGGTACGAGCGGTAAAGTTGGGAAATGCAAATGCAAATGCAAATGCAAATGCAAATGCAAATGCAAATGCAAATGCAAATGCAAATGCAAATGCAAATCCAAATGCAAATGCAAATCCAAATGCAAATGCAAATGCAAATGCAAATGCAAATCCAAATGCAAATGCAAATGCAAATGCAAATGCAAATGCAAATGCAAATGCAAATGCAAATGCAAATAAATGCAAATCACGAATGGACTCGCGATTGGCAAATGCAGGCAGGGACAATCACAATCGATCAAGGCGACGACTTCACAATCAAGTCGATCGCGCGCAGGCAGATGGGACCGCAGCACCGCCTTTGCTCTCTCTGTTCCTTGTTGTTGTGGTCGTTGTTGTTGCACGCACGCAACGCACGCATGCACGCACGCACGCACGCACGCAGCCAGCCAGCCAGCGCCCCCTTCCACGTCACCTCCATCACCTTGCCCCCTAACCGACCTTCATCACAACGCCATCGAGGGCGAGGGCGGGCGCGGGCGCAGGCGGAGGCGTCGGTCACAGTCTGTCACTTACTCCTTCTTCATACCGCCACTGCACTCTTCACTCTTCACCGGCCCGCCCATCTTCGTCCTGCTGCAGCACACGGCGCCACGACAAGACGATGTAAACCCCTTCACAACTGTGACTGTACATACATGCGTGCTGTTCGCTGCTGCGTGCACGGCTCGCTGCCCGCTCAGCGAGTCGCTTCGCATGGACGAAGAGTGTGGCTACCACGTACAACATGGGTTCGCATCGACGCGGTGCGAGAGTAAACATCGCCTTCATTTCCACGTGCCCGCTGCCACTTGGGCGTTACTGAGCCAAACCAACGACGGAGCGCATCACTGCGCCATCAGCTCCTCGGCCAGCCGCAAGTTACCCTTTGCCTGCTTGATCAGCATCAAAATGTCTCTCCTGCCAATCCCATACTCGTTGCTCCATCTCGCAATCCTTCTCTCCATCCTGGCCCGCGCCTTGTTCACATCGCACTCATCCCCCAAGACTGGCATGACCTGCGCAACCATCTCGAAGCAGTAATCCTTCTTGAACGCTTGCACCTCCCTCATAAATTCTGCTCGAGCTTCCGCCTCCTCCTCCTCCAACGGACCTCTTCTGCGCTTCGCGCGTCTTTCTGCTCCTGGAGACTCTTCCGATGCGGATCGCGAAAGCTCCGCAGAAGATCTCTCCCTCCACTCTTCCACCTCTTGCCTCTTCTCTGGGCTAATGGCGCCCTCGCGACCGCCATCATCTTCATCTGTCCGTGCCAACTTTCTCTTCTTGACCAAAGCAGCGGTGCGTGGCGCTCTTTGCTCCTCCTGAATCGGGGTATGCACCAAAAGGCCATCGTAACGCATCGCGCCGCGCCTAGGCAACACGGAAGATCCTGCTTTCGCTTCCTGCGCACCTGTCGCTGTCGTATGTCGAGGCTGTCGAGGTGCTCGCAAAGTGGATGCCGTCTGCGCCTCCACTAGTACAGCTGGTACGCTCCGCCTTGGCGCCCTAGCAGCACGAGCAGCGATCTCATCGCTATCCTCCAGGCGCAGGGGCTGGCTGGGACCGACCGCAATGTTGGCGTACGTCCTGCCAGATAGCTCCTTGGGTGTAGCCGCGATAGCCGGAACCATCACGGCTACTTGTGGTGAGCTGGTCGGCAACATGTTCGTCTTGCCCTCGGCAGGTGTAGGGGAGCTTATCCCAGCCAGAAAATTCGGGACCTGATTCTCAGCCGAGGCTTCGTCTCGCATCGATGCTTTGGCTCGATGGTGCAAAGCTCGCTGCGACGTATCGGGTACCCTAGATCCGGCTTCGTTGTCCTGCAGCTGCGATTCAGGATCCCGATCCGAGTGAAGCAGTGATGCAGAGGAAATCTCAACAACAGGACCCAGCTGCTCAGACACCAGTGCCTCGTCTTCGGCAGACGCTAGAGAGGACGATGTTGCCTGCTGCTTTTCGATTACATTGTTGCGAATCTGCCCCGGCTCTACGATCGTCCGCGCTTTCTCTTGGCTTTTGCTGGGACTGCTCTGACTGCGCAGCTGGTCCACTTCTTCATCTTCGTCCTCCTCTTCATTCTTCTGTTCCTCGCCTGCTTCATTCCCCTCCTCTTTCCCTCCTTCTTCTTCATTCTCCTCCTCCGCTTCCTCCATCACCTGGTCGTCTTCCTCCTCGTCGTCGGTGCTACCAGAAGGCGCCGTCTGGAATTGGGTCGCTTGAAAGATTAGGGTCTCAGTCGCCGCAGACCTGTAGTGCGCTCCATTCTTGTCGTGGTGTGCTCGCCACTCGTGGACCGAATGCGCTGGAAACTGCGTGCGGCCCGAGAAACGACAAGTCGAGTACCCGGTAAGTCTTTTGTTGCTGCCGACTTGGCTACGCTGACAGCTCACAGCATGCTCACCTGTTCATGAAGCTCCGTCCAGAGCCTTGCAGGAGGTTTGAGGGAAGGCAATTCTGCTCGCTCTGCTTCGTCGAGATCCAGACCGCCGCTGCCCTGCAATTCACCAACGAAAAGAGCTGCAAGCCGGTCCACCAGGTATTTCTTCTCCGATTCGGTGAATCTGGCAGGGGCGGCGGCGGCAAGTCCGGCGCGACTCGATCTCGATTGTTCAGCGGCACGAGGTTGCGATGGCAGTGGAGACTGCTGCGCATTAGCTTGCTCGGCCAGCGCGAGTCGCTCATTTGTCTTTTCTGACGCTTGCGCGGCTCTTGTTCGCGCTGGAGATGGCTGCGTCGGTTGAGTCGACTGCACAATCTCGTCTTCTTCATCGGCAGCGCTAGGAGGAGGCTGCAAGGCGCCACGAACATGACCGCTATCAGCTTGCCTTGCAGAAGACGTGCTAGACAAACCGTGCGTCTTCATCACCGTCTCTGCCCTCGACCTCGCTTCCGGTCCTGCTCGCTGTCTAGCTTCTTCGGAAGAAGTGTAGAGCTTGTACACCGAACCGGCGTAATTGTTATTCCTGAACAAATTGTCCCTCAAGTGTGTCTGGTAGGAAGTTGAGGAGTGTCCCCCATATTTGTTCTCCAGCTCTATGCACACTTGCAGACCGCCCCACTTTTCGTGCGTCACCAACAGGTGCTCGATGATTTTTGATCGGTCGTCGCGAGTGTAGGGAGCTCGGCTAAGGGGCAGCGGCGTGCTTGAAGCAAAGTCAGTAGCAAGAATGCTGGCGCATATATGCTGCTCTCCCTGTGCTCACCCGACGATAGGCCTCTTCTTGTGCACAGACGGGCCAGTGCCGGATTTGACCGCATGTGAGCTCGACGGTTCATTATGCGCGATGCTGCCGTTCCTCTGCTCCAAGGCCATCTCAGCCTTCCTTTTCGCCTCGATCTTTTCCTGTCGAATCCGCTTGCGTTCCATGATGGCGATGGGGTTGTACGCTCCATCAGCCACATCCAACAATTTTTTCGCCTCGACGCACTCCTCGATCCAAGCTGGCGCGACGACTTGAATGGGCGGGGTGTAAGCCTGAGCGGCGTGGAGCGTCTGTCGAGCCTTGATGGGCTGTTCCAAGTCAAAGATGGCCACTCCACACCCGTCCAATCCTTGCTCTACCCTGCCCCCATTACGCTTCACCAGACTTGCCAAGCGCGACCTCTGTGTCGCTTCCATGTTGCGCGGAATGTGTATGCGCAGTGGCACGCCTTCTACGGCAAAGATGCCTCCTGGTTGACCGCTCGAGCTCGCATCGCCAGGCTCGTCGGCATCTCGAAAAGTGAGCGCTGGCGGTGCAAGGACTGGCATGATAGGCGCAAACACTTGAGTCGAAGGATGGCTTGGGTCGTTGCGTTGCGTATATGCGATGAGCGCGAGGAGGACGGCGGAGCGAACGGTGGAGAAGCAAAGTCTCCGTGTCTGGACGGAAGAGATGCTAAGCTGACGCTCGGTGATGGAGCGAATTTTGCAATTGTCACGGGATGCCTCAGATACCCAGTCTGGCGCAGCCCTGTGGCTGGAGGCGAAGTAGATGGTGAGGCCGTGTGAGAGAGAAGAAAGAAGATCGAGGCAGCATATGAGACGAATCACAAACCTCGCCTGTCATCTCCATCCCTGCTGATCGCGTCGACACTGTGTTTCCTGATTGACCCGCTCGCTGGTCCATGCATCGCGCCTGCATCCGTGCTGTGCTGTCCATACGCGGCGAAGCACAAAGTGCCACGCGACGCGTCGTGGCCCGCGGTAAACACGCGCGAGTGCGTGCAGCACCCACGCAGCTGTATAGAAGCTTTCACTTGTGTGCACGCTACAGAATCAAATTATTCACGTTTTGATTCATCATTGAACTTCAGCAAAGTCGATCTCGCTCACTCACAGTTCTGAGTTGAGTTGTTCATCGCGAAGTTGACCGCGTGCCCCATCGCTGCCTGACCGCACACCCCAATCCCTTCAGAGCGATAGACTTAGAGTCAGGGGCGGAGGCACGCACCGCAATTTCTTGCGTTGCGATTGCGCTGCCCTAGACCTATGAAAACATTCTAGACTTACGACTGCTTAGAAATCTCGAGTGCGTGGGCTGCAATCACAAATCACGTGAACGTCATGTACGTGATGGCAGACACAAGTCGCGCTTCTTTCACTTTCACGCTTAGCCAAACACATGAGCGTGCGCACACGTAGATGACGGATGACATTCGCGGTCAGAGGACGAATTTTTCTTTTGAGGGGGCAAAAGAGGCCAAGGACCTTAATTTCTTACTTTCGCAATACAAGAGTCAGGCGAACGAAAAGTCGACTGGCATTCCTCTACCAATCGGTGCCCGTCACCTTCTTGGCGGCGCTCTTGGCAGCATCGACAACGGGCTGAAGCTTTGTCGCAGCTCCCGTAGCTTCGTATCCGAATCCGTCGAGCCACGGCGTGTCTTTGGTCCTCTCCTGCTCAAAGCTCTTGATAAAGTTCTCCTTCTCCATGGTCAGATCAATGTCGTCCAGTCCATTGAGCAGGCAGTGCCTCGTGAAGGAGTCGACGTGGAACTCGAAAGACTTGTTGGAAGATTCAGGAAGAATCACCTTGTTCTGTTCGAGGTCCACAATCACCTCCTGCTTTGCTTTTGCTGCTTCCATCACCTCCTTGACCTCTTCGGGCTCCAGGATCGCCGCCACGATGCCATTTTTGGCCAGGTTGGTCTTGTGGATATCGGCAACGCTTGGCGCGACGACGGCCCGAATACCAAAGTCGAGCATGGCCCACGCAGCGTGTTCTCTCGATGATCCGCCTGAGATTGCGGAGAGATGACCACACGTCAGTCGAGAGCTCGTCTTCATGCATAGCATGCGCACTCACAACCCCAATTCTCCCACGCCACCAGAATCTGCGCTTTGTTGAAAGGCGCTTGATTGAGCACAAAGTCGGCCAAAGGCTCGCCCGTCTTGACGTCGTACCTGGCGGGCCAGAAAAAGGCGGAGCCCAAACCCGAGCGCTTGATCGTCTTCAGGAACTGCGATACGAGCACAGGACGGAAAGGGTAACATTCAGCCGCATTCAATGCGCTTCTCGGTAACGCTTCATACTCACCTGCTTGGGAATGATCAGGTCAGTGTCCACATTTGCGCGGTCGATGGGGGCAGCAATACCCTTGACGACTGTAAACTTTTGCATTCCACCACCTGCGGTAGCAGTCTGGGAGGCGGGCACATCTCTGATGGCATCCTCATCCGTATCGGCGGGCACCCTCTTGAGGGGAGCAGGTGGAGGAAGGGGCTTGTCGGTCAAGTAGCTCTTGGCGTCTGTGATCTGGACGTTGTATTCCGGCTTAGAGGCATCCTCTCCGACGCGCGTGCCATTTGTGAGCTTTCGAACGTCTGTGAGGTAGCCGGTGATGGCAGCCGCAGCAGCCATCGCAGGACTCATCAGGTGCGTCCTTCCACCAGCGCCCTGCCTGCCTTCGAAATTGCGGTTGGAAGTGGAGGCGCACCTCTCACCGGGCTGCAGCTGATCGGGATTCATGCCAAGACACATCGAGCAGCCAGCTTCTCTCCAATCGAAGCCTGCCGCTTGGAAGATCTTGTCTAGGCCTTCTGCTTCAGCTTGCTTCTTGACCAGCCCTGAGCCGGGCACGAGCATGCAGTACAGTCCATCGGCCACTTTCTTGCCGTGCAGAATGGAAGCCGCTTGTCGAAGATCCTCGATGCGAGAATTGGTGCAAGAGCCGATGAACACCTTGTCGATCTTGATCTTGTCCAGGGGAGTGTTTGCTTCGAGACCCATGTATTCGAGAGCACGAGTCCAGGCTTTAGCTTGAGTCTCGTTTTTGGCATTTTTGGGATCCGGTACGCTGCCAGTGATGGGAGCCACATCTTGAGGGCTGGTTCCCCAAGTAACGGTAGGAGGGATATCCGCTGCTTTGACCTGGACGTCAATGTCGTAGTGAGCGCCCTCATCGGATGGCAGCGACCTCCAGTAAGCCACAGCGGCATCCCACTCTGGACCTTGCTTTGGAGCCAAGGGTCTACCTTTGATGTACTCGTACGTGATGTCGTCGGGGGCGATGATGCCCGCCCTAGCGCCTGCCTCGATGGACATATTGCAGATGGACATGCGTGCCTCCATGCTCAGACTGCGGATGGTGGAGCCGCAGAATTCGATGACAGCACCCGTACCACCCGCAGTGCCAATGATGCCGATGACGTGTAGGATAATATCCTTGGAGTTGACGCCTGGACCCAGCTGGCCCTCGACCTGAACGCGCATGTTCTTTGCCTTTTTCTGCAGAATGGTCTGCGTAGCGAGCACATGTTCCACCTCGGATGTTCCGATGCCGAAAGCAAGGGCGCCAAATGCACCGTGGGTGGAAGTGTGAGAATCCCCGCACACAATGGTGGCACCAGGCAGGGTGAAGCCTTGCTCTGGGCCGATGATGTGCACGATGCCTTGCCTGGCGTCGGAGAGACCGAAAAAGGTTAGACCAAACTCCTTGACATTGTCCTCGAGCGTGACCACTTGGGTGCGAGAGTCGGCTTCCTCGACGAACGTCTTGCTGTCCTTGTACGACTTGCGCGAGACGGTGGGGATGTTGTGATCGACGGTGGCCAAGGTGCAGTCTGGTCGACGAACTTTTCGACCGGCATTCCTCAAGCCCTCGAATGCTGAGCGTGTGTGTGGGAAGAGCGGTGAGGGGAGAGGTGATGTTACGTTGAGCAGCGGCTCTCCTCTCTCGCAGACGCCAACGCATACTTACCTTGAGGAGACGTCACCTCGTGTACCAGCTGTTTGGAATCGATGTGCGGCTCGAGTCAGCTGACGCTGCTACCTCCACCGCCACCACCAAGCACTCACGTGGCGGTCGATGTAGAGGATGACTGTGCCATCCTCCGTCTTGTGAGCTACGTGAGCGTCGAAGCACTTATCGTAGATGGTTCGAGGCGCAGCGGCCATCTTGTCTGCTTGCTCGTCTGACGATCCAATCACTCCTGCGATCTAGGCTTGGCTTGTATGCGCGGTGTTGCGATGAGTAAGATGCGCGTGACGGCTGCGCGAATGGGTGGATGGGTTGGTGGTAGAGAGTGTGAGGGTGGGGGAGC